GTTGGGGTTTGTTAAAGCTTTTTTGACAAGAAATATTCCACAGCAAAAAATTACGCAAAGACAACATTCATCCAATTCAGGAGTCGGGATGAAAATCGAAACCAAAGTTGTTTCTTTTTCTTTTTTTTATTGGAGGTGTTTTTACACCCTATCGACACAATATTATGATCCAGGAGGTGCGCTTCGACAGTCCCAGTAAAAGCCAACCCGCGCTGAGAAGGATACAGCAGCGAGCAGAAAGTCAGATATACAATACATTTTAATGTACTCAATAAGAATTATTCCCATCATTAAGGAATTACAATCGAGTCTCCTGCGCGTGACAACGAAGCTCCTAACATTTACACGGGGGCTCTCGTGGCCTAGGGATTAAGGTGTTCGCCTCTCATTCAAAGGTCCCAGGTTCGAAAACAGGTAGCGACGGAAAAACTTTCTTGTCTAAATTGTCTCCTTTCACCTCCTATCCTGCTCTCTAGCAATGTTCTGTCATCTGCTTTGGTCTCCACTTTCTGCCCCCACCCCGTCACCTCCTTTTCCCCCTCCTCTTGGCTCCTGACTCTTTCTGCAGCTTTTCTACTGCTACTTCTTGGCTCCCTCTTGCTGCTGTCTTTCAGCCACACCCCTGATCTTTGGGTAGGACAGATTTACACCTAGCTTTCTCGGACAAGGGCGAAAAATATCGGAGGTCCCGTTTGCAAGTTGCGCTCGTTAAAGATCCCTTGGAGATCTAAAATCGATAAGAGTAGGCTTCGGCCGCCACCCGAGAAAAATTCAAAATTTCCTACTAACTGAAAATGTTGAATGTGTCCAGCACGCTCATATGAACTTATGCAGTTGCGAGCGCCGTAAAACACTTACCAATTTATTTTTTAAAACTATAACTGCAGATACTTCTTCACTTGGTGTACAGAGCTATCCCACTCACCGCAGGGTCAACAAATTTCTTGAGCTGTTGCTCTGACAGCCCCACTCGGTCTCCCATGAAAGCGATTTCTTTGCGGAAGTCCTTCATTTTACGTTCCATGGCGGACATCTTGCCTTGGTTGACACCGAGTCGTCTCTTTGAGGGAAAAAAAGAAAGAAAATTACGTCAAAGAGAGAAATGAATATATTTACATTTCGTTTCTTTATATTTCGGCCGAGTATAAAAGTTTCTTGTATCTCACGGTTCAACACCCTTCACTGCAGCATATATTTCAATGACAGTCGTATGTTATTTTGATATGGTGCATTACCGTGAAGTCATTTACGAGGCAGGGGCTTCTTAATTCAGCGTGTTGTCCGATAGGACCCAGCCAGTTGTGAGGAGAATCTTGCACCTCCCTCCACCCCACCTCATCTCACCCGCCCAAGTAAAAACAACCCCCCAACCTAATAAAACAATTGAACCGGGTGCACCAGCACCGTAGTTTTGCATGATACGAATTCAGGTGCCGATACTCCCTGAAATTAATAAACAATTTACAACGGCAGCTGCTGCTGAAAAGGGTGTGCACATTGGATGTTTTTCATTCTTTAAAAAACCCCATAATTCTCACTTGTCCACATTTCGAAAACAACACACGATCGAGGAACATTATTAGAACAGAATTGCGGAGAGCGTACTTTTTCCTCATTTCTCGTGAACCCCTGGCGATAGAGCAGTTGTTTTTTTAATGTAGCGTAGGAAAACAAAACCCAGGGTGTATACACTACTTTTTCTTAGTCTTCGTGGGCATTCAATGAAAAGTGATATTCTGACGAATTACTTTAAGGAAAATCTAACTTAGATCTATGCATGTCAGAAGCAGACAATAAACATTTGTGGGAAAATATACGAGCGTAGCTTTAAACAAACTATGCCTTTAAAATGCCACTATTTGGAGAATATTAGTAAGAATAGGGCCTACTTGTATAAAGGGCAAACGTGGGCTGAGCAGCATCATCTTCTTGGTCAGCAGGGACAGGGCCTGAGCCAGGTTGGTTTGAGAGCCCCGGATTTCTTTCAGCTCCGGACCCAGCATCTGGAGGACGGTGCAACAAACTCAATAGCAATAAGAGAAAACAAGATTGTTGTTGTTGTTGTTGTTGTTGTTATTATTGTTGTTGTTGTTGCTGCTACTGCTACTGCTACTACTGTTGCTACTGCTCCTTCTGCTGATATTGTTGTTTTTTTTGTTGTTGTCATGTTTGTGCGTGTGTTGAGTATTTGTGAGTGAGTGTTTGTATGTATGTGTTTGGTGTGTGTGTGTGTGAGTGTTTGAGTGTGTATTTTGTATGTATGTATGCGTTTGTTTGTGTGTGTGTTTGTGTGTGTGAGTGTGTGTGTGTGT